CATTCATTCATTCATTCATTCATTCATTCATTCATTCATTCATTCATTCATTCATTCATTCATTCATTCATTCATTCATTCATTCTTAAGATCTGACTTTTCCAAAGATGGTTCAGTGATTTGAAGCTAGGCCATTCTGGCAAATCTAGGCAACTAGATACTCTTTGAAAACTGTACAGGGCTGGTCTCTACAAACACCAGCCGAAGAGATCCTGTTTATTTTAAACAAATGTGTTCACCTGAACTGAGACTGATCCAGTAGGCTTTAATGAAACAAATCTCACAGTGAGAAAATACAATTCCCATGACATTTTAGAGGACAACGTCAGGCTGTGTTAAAAAAAACCTTGGCCACAGAAAGCTTATACAGTAAAATGTAAAGGTCTGGTGTGTGAAATATGGCGACATCTAGAGGCACAAAGTGAACATTTCAGCCAAAAGAATCCCCTCAATCTTACAATAATAATTTAACACATTTCTATAAAAATGACAACATCGTTTTGAATTATTATAAGTTACACCTATGTTCATTGATCAGTACGACTAAGAATTTAAATAACACAAAGATGATTAAACTAGTTTGACATTAGTAACACAAGACATTTGAAATGGTATTGTGCTGCGAACCTGTCTCTCTGTTGAGACAAGATTTAATTAAACAAATTTTTGCACGGGTGGAATAATGTCTGGATTTCAAAATATTTCATAGACTATATAGTTTATGACTATTACTATTACAGTAATATAAATTTCACAAAATAGTTAAAATGTCTTTGGAAAACTGTAACTGTATCTAGTGTCTAATACTAAATTTAAAAAAAAATTCTGTCAGAATCAACTGTCTTGTTATGTGTGTTGCAGGTAGCCCACTATGTATGGAATAAAACAGATTTTGACAATGTTGACCCTAAAACCACAGACTACCTCATGGGTAACTATTTCTCTTTTAAAATTTCTTTATCTTTCTTTGCACTCTTACTTGTTTCTTCATTCATTCAACCTTTATTTAAACAGATTATTCTCATTGAGCCACAAAAACCAGTCACTAGGGAGCACAAGCCAGTGTATCTCTTGTTCCAGTCCCAAACCCGGGTAAATGGTGAGGGTTGTATCAGGAAGGTCATCCAATGTAAAACACTTTTGCCAAAACTATAATGTGAGTTCATCAAAGCGAAACCATACCAGATCGGTCGAAGCCCAGGTTAACAACGACCTCCACCGGTGCTGTTGACAAACAGGGTGCTGGTGGAAATTGCGCTACTGTTAGATGAAGACCACAAGGAGGAAAACGTGTCAGGAGACAGAGGGAGAAGAGGAAAATGAAGAATGTAGGACTGAGGGTTGCAACTTTAAATGTGGGGACAATAACAGGCAGGGAAGGAAGGTAGATATTTTATTTGTCCAAGGGACCAAGTGGAAGGGCAGCAAGGCTCGCAGCACTGGAGCAGGGTTTAAACTGTTTTACCATGGTGTGAATAGAAAGAGAAATGGAGTAGGGGTGGTCCTGAAGGAGGAGTTGGCAAAGAATGTAGTAGAGGTGAAGAGAGTGTCAGATAGGGTGATGTGTCTGAAGGTAGAAGTAGAAGGTCTGATGCTAAACATCGTCAGTGGTTATGCTCCACAGGTTGGATGTGATGTGGAGGAGAAAGATACATTTTGGAAAAATCTGGATGAAGTGATAGAGAGTATTCCCAGGGAGGAGAGAGTGGTGATCAGAGCAGACCTGAATTGACATGCTGGTGAAGGAAACAGAGGAGATGAGGAAGTGATGGGTAGGTAGGCCCAGTTAGGATATCCACATTGCTCTAGAGCCTGTCTTGTGTGGGATTTCTCCTTCTGCCTGGCTCCTGAGTTAGTGGGGATGCTGTCTGCTCTGTGGTACAGAGTCCTGATGACTCCTAACTTATGCTCCAAAGGGTGATGGGAGTCAAACTGCAAATACTGGTCTGTGTGGGTGGGTTTGTGGTACACCTCAGTTTGCAAATGTCCTCTATCAAAAACTGAGACCTCACAGTCCAAGAAAGCCAGCCTGCCATTTTTTACATCTTCTCGTGTGAACTTGATATATTTATCCACAGAGTTGATGTGATCAGTAAAATGTTGGACTTCCTGAGATTTAATTTTAACCCAGGTGTCGTCAACATACCTGAACCAATTGTTAGATTGTTTTAGCTTTAACATCCATTTGAAAGTTATTTCTACAAGTCAAATGTAACTTTATGAGTATTTTTGCTCTGTTATAGTGTGTATTCAGTTTTGAGTGAAAATTTAGTTTTTATATTATAACATGTTAGTACCTAATTTAGTTTTCTAGCGCATGCACAGTTGATTTTATAAATCCTAATTCAAATTTTTTTTGTGTGGATGAATGCGTGGAGGAGGTGTAGATCAAGTCATCTACCATTTTTCCACTGAGTTCTCTCTTTTTCCCTTCTCCGTCACTTCCTGTGTGCTAAAATTGGTTCTAGTAGGAGGGAGACATGGTACATTTCATGCAGCTTTGCCCCTCTGAGGAGTGATAAATTGGACATGCTGTATTCTAATTTGGTTTACTTCTTCATCCCCAGCTCTGTTTGAACCTGGTGATCGGCAGTATGAGGCAGACAGGGACACAACCCTGGATCCATCCATCATGGAGACCACAGAAAAGGCAATCCACATTCTGCAGAAAAACCCGAAAGGCTTCTTCCTGTTAGTGGAGGGTGAGGAAAATTATTTTGTGAGACCAATCAACATCCATGACCAAAATATTTGGCCCAAAGTTGGTTAGACAAAGATCATTGAACCATTTTTCTTTGCTATGTTAAAAATATGGCTTTGAAGATTCTGACAGAGTAACATTTAATATTTAGGTCAGCAGGATATATAACTTCTGACAAACCCCCCCAAAAAAACTAAAAAATGAAATCACCATGCAAAGAAAACTTGTTTATTTGGACTACCTAAAGGCCAAATAGCAAAGTATCAAAAGTCTGAATAAAAGCTTAAAATATTAAGAATGTAGTAAAAAGTTAAAGGGGAGTGGTGGTGCAGAGGTTAGAGCAGGTGGGTCTGTGATCATAAGGTCTCTGATTTGGATTCTCAGACCGTTACAGCAAAATATGGATGGGGAAGGTGAAACACGCATCTTCTCCCCCCCCCCCCCAATTACCAGTATCCTGAGCTGTAGTAGTTTGTTGACCGATGGTTTCAGGATGGACATTTGGCGTAAAAACAATTGCCAAGTTTTCATGACAGTTTGCATGCTGTGGCGAGCACTGATAAAGGGAGCAGCCAACAAAACAAAAAGTTAAATCTAAAAAGAGCAAAATAGTAGCTAAAAGATAAAAGTAGCATAAGATAAAAACGATCAGTTTGCTGAAGCTAACTTCAAAGAAATCAGTTTCTGAGGGATTGAAAATCTTTTTCTTTCTTTTCACAATAGAACCAGCAGTTTTCTAATTTCTCAGTTTAAGTTTAAGTTTAGCACTGAGCTAGGCTGACTTACATGATAATGGAGCTGTCTTTTATTATTCCAACTCCCAGAATACATGATTTTAAAGAACAGTGTGTCTCTGCAGCAGATCCAGTGGCTTGATGCTGCCTGCAGCTCAGTGAGCTCGCCACAGTGTGTTACAGTGGAGAGCACTGGTCTGATGTACCTCTGTTCTAATGGCCTCCCTGTCCATGTCTCCTTTAAGCTGAGGCAGCTGCCTGAGGACACCAGGTTTCTTCTAGGTGTCTTCAGGATGACTTACAATAACAGATGTATATGTACTATATGTATATGTACTATATGTATATGTATATGTATGTATGTATATGTACTATATGTATATGTACGTAAATAGAAGCAGGAAGATGGAGCACTCAGTCACTGACAGCTAAAAGAAATAACTTATCCACTGGGCTCTTTTTTCCAGTTTCCTGTGTATACTGGACAGGAGAGGGGAGATGTGTCAAAGTAACAACAATAAACAAACAAACAAAAAAAAACCATATGGTTAATTTCCCCAACAAGATTTTACAGCATATTAGTTGTGAAAAGGTTCAAGTTTGAAATCTTATTTATTTGATCTGTAAAGTTTTGGTAAGTTTATATTAAGTAAACAACTCAAAGTGTCATCATTCAAAGTAATGCTAAACATTTGAGGGTTGAGACATTTGAGACGTCTCAGATTTATGTTGTTGAAGTCAAACCAGACTCAAGTCTTATCATTTTAGAGAAACCAGATTATGTTTTTAAAACATCTTATTCATCTTTGGGCAAAATCTAAATCCATATTTGACAAGTGAGATGCCCGTCAATTTATTGTCCCCTGTGTTGCAGAGCACAAAGGGGGAAGTGGAAATACCTTCCATCCATGCATCCATCCATCCATCCATCCATCCATCCATCCATACATCCATACATCCATACATCCATACATCCATACATCCATACATACATACATCCATCCATCCATATATCCATACAGGTCCTTCTCAAAAAATTAGCATATTGTGATAAAGGTCATTATTTTCCATAATGTAATGATAAAAATGAAACTTTCATATGTTTCAGAGTCATTGCACACCAACTGAAATATTTCAGGTCTTTAATTGTTTTAATACTGATGATTATGGCATACAGCTCATGAAAACCCAAAATGCCTGTCCCAAAAAATTAGCATATCGTGAAAAGGTTCTCTAAACAAGCTATTAACCTAACCATCTGAATCAACGACGTAACTCTAAACACCTGCAAAAGATTCCTGAGGCTTTTAAAAACTCCCAGCCTTGTTCATTACTCAAAACCGCAATCATGGGTAAGACTGCCGATCTGACTGCTGTCCAGAAGGCCATCATTGACACCCTCAAGCAAGAGGGTAAGACACAGAAAGAAATTGCTGAATGAATAGGCTGCTCCCAGAGTGCTGTATCAAGGCACCTCAGTGGGAAGTCTGTGGGAAGGGAAAAGTGTGTCAGAAAACGCTGCACAACGAGAAGAGGTGACCAGACCCTGAGGAGGATTGTGGAGAGGGGCTGATTCCAGACCTTGGGGGACCTGCGGAAGCAGTGGACTGAGTCTGGAGTAGAAACATCCAGAGCCGCCGTGCACAGGCGTGTGCAGGAAATGGGCTACAGGTGCCGCATTCCCCAGGTCAAGCCACTTTTGAACCAGAAACAGCGGCAGAAGCGCCTGACCTGGGCTACAGAGAAGCAGCACTGGACTGTTGCTCAGTGGTCCAAAGTACTTTTTTCGGATGAAAGCAAATTTTGCATGTCATTCGGAAGTCAAGGTGCCAGAGTCTGGAGGAAGACTGGGGAGAAGGAAATGCCATAAGTCCAGTGTGAAGCACCCACAGTCAGTGATGGTCTGGGGTGCCATGTCAGCTGCTGGTGTTGGTCCACTGTGTTTTATCAAGGGCAGGGTCAATGCAGCTAGCTATCAGGAGATTTTGGAGCACTTCATGCTTCCATCTGCTGAAAAGCTTTATGGAGATGAAGATTTAATTTTTCAGCACGACCTGGCACCTGCTCACAGTGCCAAAACCACTGGTAAATGGTCTACTGGCCATGGTATTTGTAGAGGTTGGCTCCTCTACCCCTCCTTTCTCTATTGTTTGTGTTTTCCTAATTGTCTCTCCACAGCTGCTGCTCATTACCTGGACCAGGTGGAGGAGCTATTTAATCTGGAGCCTCACTCCAGATCAGTGCCAGAGCAAAGTTCTACCAAGCTCCATGTTCCTGTGACTACTGGCTGGCTGACTTCAAGCTCCTTATCGGTCTCCCTGCATGACAGCAGCGTTTCTCCTCCTCCACCTTCACTCCTGTGTGCCTCACCTGGTTCCTGGTTCCTCCTCACCTCCACCCCGGCTCCCTTGGTGATTTTTGTAAATACACTTGTAAATATACTCACCTGATCCCACCATGGATTGTTGGATTCGGATCCTGTCTCCTGTTCTCATGCTCCTGGAACAACAACGACAAGTAAGCTTATTTTTGGATTACTATCAACATTTCCAAAATCTCCTCAAGACGATTTGTCATTCACCACCAATCTCCTCTCTATTCCCACAGTGGATCCATCCTGAGTTTGAGTTTACCAGATACACCTGAACCAATAAATAATATTGTTTTTTACCTCAAGTTGTTTAGTCCTTGCTTCAAACCGTTCGCCTTTGACATCACCTACAGACCCTAACAGTATTACTGTGCTCAATTGGCCTGCCAACTCTCCTGACCTGAACCCCATAGAGAACCTGTGGGATATTGTGAAGAGAAAGTTGAGAGACGCAAGATCCAACACTCTGGATGAGCTTAAGGCCGCTATCGAAGCATCCTGGGCCTCCATAACATCTCAGCAGTGCCACAGGCTGATTGCCTCCATGCCACAATGCATTGAAGCAGTCATTCATGCAAAAGGATTCCCGACCAAGTATTGAGTGCATAACTGAACATGATTATTTGAAGGCTGGCGTTTTTTGTATTAAAAACACTTGTCTTTCATTGGTGGGATGAAATATGCTAATTTTTTGGGACAGGCATTTTGGGTTTTCATGAGCTGTATGCCATAATCATCAGTATTAAAACAATTAAAGACCTGAAATATTTCAGTTGGTGTGCAATGAATCTGAAACATATGAAAGTTTCATTTTTATCATTACATTATGGAAAATAATGACCTTTATCACAATACGCTAATTTTTTGAGAAGGACCTGTATATGTATATATGTATATATATATATATATATATACACACACACACACATCGCTAACCACGCCACTAACCGAACCACACTGCTATAGTATCATGCTGCTAACTGGACCATGTTACTAAGAGAACCTCAGTACCAGAATAACTACTCTGGTAGATTTATTTCTTTTTCACTTTTGGCGCCTTGTTTTTGTATTTTTGTTGCATGCCTTGGTATTTGTTGTTGTTGTTTTTTTGGCGAGTCGAGACGATTCTTCTTGTCCTGATCATTTCAATGCGTTGTTGACCTTGTGTTGATTTTGCATATGACAAATAAATCAAACCTGAAACCTCCTTTCTGTCCAGGTGGGCGAATCGATCAGGCTCACCATGAAGGCCGAGCTTACATGGCGCTCCACGAGGCCGTCGCCTTTGATGACGCCATTGCTAAGGGACTCGAACTCACCAAAGAAGAAGAAACTCTCACCATAGTGACAGCTGACCATTCCCAGCCACTCACCTTCAATGGATTTCCATTTCGAGGGCAGAGCGTTCTGGGTAATTCCTTTGTACAGGACTATTTACAACTTTAGTTGCTTGAAGTAGAAATCTGTTGCATTGCTTGTTTCCATCTCCTGCCTCTGTATTTTTTTCATCTGTCTTCTTGCCCTCCAGGTGTGTTTATCCACATTGTGTGTGTGTGTCTCCTCGCTGCTTCAGAGTGCCTCAGCCGCCAGCAGCTTGACATTTCTTCTTCTTTCTCTTCTCACAATTACAGACTGGGTAAACATATATAGGAGGTAGCCTTTCTCCCACTGGCATTTCTATTTCTGTCACTTGCTTTTTCCTTATTTTCCTTCCCTCTACATGCCTCCAAGCTTTATCTGCGTCACCTTTCTCTTGCACATTTTTTTTCCCACCAAAATTTCCAGAATTTTTTATTCCTATTCCTCCTTAGGCATCGCATCAATTATATGTAGCATATACATACACCCCCCCCCCCCCCCCCCCACACACACAGACACATTTACCATGAAATATTAGTTCACCCAGCACTATTTCTATTGCACGAACAAATCCATTCCTCTTGATTAATAGGAGAATACTCAAACTACTAATAATCCACACCAGGTTTTCCTGGTTACTTACAACAACTCACCTCAGGGTTTTTTGTGGACTGGGATGGGGGAGGAGGGGGAGACACTTCTGTGTTGCGTGCTAGCTTTGGTAAATGGACTGCACTTATATAGTGCTTTTCTATCTTATCCAGATACTCAAAGCTCTTTACAACAAAATGTGCCTCATTTACCCATTCATACAGCACTCTACTAGATCTCTACAAAGCTAATTGAACAAATCATTCAAAAGAGACTAATCAGTGCTTTAGATCACATTCATACACTGATGGGACACACATCAGAAGCAATGACGGTTCAGTGTCTTGCCCAGCAACACTTCAGCATGTGACTGCTGGTGGATTCGAACCCCCATTGGAGGATGACTGCTCTAACCACTCAGCCACAGTCGCCCCCGTTTGTTGACCGGAAACAAGTGTTTACTTATGTAGGTAAACGTAGATGTTTAACAGCCTGTTAAAATACTTCAGAATGCAGGAAATGACATTTACAGTACTTTATTCAAAATTTTCTGAGGGAGGACCCCCAGACTCTCCCATCAGTGACCACCCACCCACACACCACACACATACACACACATTACAAATGCTTCTGACACCAACATATTCCTCACTATTGCATTTCCTGTAATAATTAAAAAAATCATATTTTTTTGGTTTGCTTTTTAAACAATTTTTTTATTTTTTTTATTTATCGTGACCTGGTTGACTGAGGATCTTCTCCAGCATTTCCTGTAATTGGAGGATTAAAATTACATATTTATTTTCTTTTACTCACCAGCAGAACATGGAAATTAATCTTAAATAGCCGCACAAAAATCCCTTTTTCACTCATTAATTCATTTCCAGTTCATCTTTAATTCACCCACACATCAAACATTACCTTCAAGTATATATCTGCACTCAATACTGTATTTATAGATTCAGTACTGTCCACCACCTTGAGTAGTGGTCGATCATATTATGTGTGCCTGTGTTTATGTTTGTTTGTCTGTTAGCAAAATATCTCATTAAACATTGAATAATTTTTAATGAAACACAGAAAATAATTTTGGATGTGCATCTACAACTGATAATCCTTTGAATTCAACCTGATTCAAGATGGTGACACATTTATTGTACTTTGTATTTACCAAACACAAAAATGTGACTACCTCTGTCAGTTTAAAACATATTGAGGTAACATTTGGTGTGGCAGTAGCTGAGAGTCATCCCCAACACATAATCTGAGCACTAACAAAAGTTTACAAGCAACCTGTTGGGCAATATGCATTCCTTTTAAGAAATGCTCATTCAGTTTCACTGTCTGCTTTCATGTCTTGTTTAGTTTTCTATACGCCTTTTGGTCTTTCCCTCGCGAAGCAAAGAAGGGGAATTGGAAATACCATCTATCCATCTGTCCGTTTGTCTGTCCATCTGTCCGTTTGTCCGTCTGTGTTGTGAGAATGATTGTGTGAAAAATAGGTGAGGTACCAACTTCCATGGCTGTGGCTGTATCTAGGGGTATGAAGGGTTCCTTTCAAAAACTGGGTTGCCTCAAAAATTCCACAAACAAATCCAAGATGGCTGCCATTATATATGCATATATGTAAACGTTGAGAGTTGGATAACTTGAAAAATAAGCAACGTGTCAACTTCCATTTTGGTGTGCAGCTGCATCAAGGCATATCGCTTGTTGTAAGGTGAATTTATGTTTCACAGAGATTTTTGGATCAGGATGAGCAAATTTTGCTTCAGTATATTATAGAGATGATTCAGCACTAGAACTATCATTTCAAAAGGATTGACCCGCAGGACTATCAATAACAACCTTCAAAGCTCGCATTGATAGGGCTGCTGGTTGTGTCATGCTGTTGCCACATTTCTGCTCCCTGCTCTCTTATTTCTGCCGCCTCTTCTTGCCTCCTTCCTCTCCCAGTGGTGCAGCAGCGATTAATGGAACTGTAAAACTAAGCTCTTCATCAGCAGGACTTGTCAGGCTAATGGCTCATTTGGAGAAAAACACTGACATACACCAGCTCAAGACCTCCTGCAGCACCTGTGGGACCAGCCAGCTCCCTTTTTTTTTATTGTGCTTGTGTGTTTATGTCTGCATCGTGCATGTGTCTACTCAGAGAGGAGCAAAAGAGAGGAGAAAACAAAGCCTTTATTTGTGTTTCTGCAGGTAAATCTCCCCTTTGGGCTACAGACATGCTACCTTACACGACTCTCATGTACGGCAATGGACCTGGACACAAAATCATAAACAGCAAGCGCCCTGACATCCGCAACGTCACCACCAGTAAGACACACTTGTGTTTATTTTTTAAATCCTCACAAAATCATTGGTTACGTACTGTAACCCCAGATTCTATGAGTATAGGCGTAGCCCTTTAAGACTGTCACTAGTGGGTTTGTCCCTAGGCGCGCAGCGCAGAACTGAAAACTTTAGTCCACACCCACCTGCTGTGTGGGCCTTACCCCCGGTCCATATAAATTCCAGTGAGACCGGGTAATCGGCTCCCAAATAGCTTTTTTCTTCAGCCATTAGGAACCAGTGAGGCCCAGAGCTTAAAGGGCTACACCTATACTTATAGAATCTGGGGTTACAGTACGTAACCAACGTTCTATTTCGTATAGGCTTCACCCTTTAAGACTGTCGCTAGTGGGTTAAAGGCGAAGCAGGATGTAGTCTATGCTTCACTGGGTCCATTCAGACACAACATGAAGCACCTGCTTGCACAAAAAAACATTTAATCACTCAGCCTTCTGTGTGCGTAATTACACGCTGCGTAATTGCGTGCTCCATGCGCAGGAGCGCACCGGAGAAGATCTCTGGTGAGGAAAAAAAGGCTGAGATAGCAGACCTGCTGCTGTGAATAGGAACAACGGAGGATACGAATTGTAACAGTGTAACGATAAACAGAGCAGACCAACAGCTCCTCAGGATGAACTGGTTATTAACAATAAAATCAGCAGTCATGAACTTGTGACTGATAATAAATATCTCACACTGCGACTGCATGCAGGCAGGTGTGAGCTCAACAGTGAGGCTCCATGAAACAAATAATCATTCTGTCAGAACCCTGAGAACAGAATGGGTCATGGAGAAAGTAGAAACATCTTGTAGATGTCACGGTCAGCGGCCCCCGCTGCCCCCCCATCTGCCTAGCCTCTGCTCTTTGTGTGTTTTCTGTTTCTGTGTATCTGGTCCTGTTTTCCACTCACTCCTCAGTCTGCCTCTCCACTCCTCAGTCTTTATCATTCACTCCTCAGTCTGCCTCTCCACTCCTGTCACGGTCAGCGGCCCCCGCTGCCCCCCCATCTGCCTAAGCCTCTGCTCTTTGTGTGGTTTCTGTTCCTGTGTATCTGGTCCTGTTTTCCACTCACTCCTCAGTCTGCCTCTCCACTCCTCAGTCTTTATCATTCACACCTGTCCCTCATCAGCCACCTGCCCAGGTGCTCTCATTACTCACTCTCCCTCTGTCTTATAAAAAGCCTTTCTCTCCTCCACTCCTTGTCCGGTCATTGTTCTGTGTTTACAGACATCTCAGTCCTCTTCTGTCTTGTCTGTTTCTTGTCCACCTGATTATCTGCTCTGCCTTGTTTCTGATCCTGTCTGCCCAAGTAAGTTTTGCTGCACCGACAGCCTTTTGTTTTGTTATTAAAAAAATAAATTATTTTTATTTTTAAAGTCCTGCCGCGCTCGCCTCTCTGCAATTGGGTTTCAACACTGAGGATTGTGACAGTAGATAAAAACAAATAATTGAACATGGCGATGACCAGGCAGCCGCCATACAAATATTCTCTACTGTCATCCCTCCATGCAGAGCCATGGAGGATGAAAACCATCTGGTGGAATGCGCTGAGATTCTCTGGAGGATCCAGTCCAGATGAACTGTAAGCTTCAGAAATAGCCCCACACAACCAGTATGAGGGGCACTGGGTGGATAGCGGACGTCCTGAAGAGCTGTCCCAGTAATGCACGAACATACGCTGAAAATGGCGCAGTACGGCTGTGTGCGCCACGTAACATGAAAAATGCGCGCATGGGACAGGAGGAGGTGAGATGTTGCTTCCTCCTCAGAATTATGAGGAAGAGGATAAAACCCATCCAAGGTTATCACTCTCGATCTGAATGAGCTTGTGATGTTTTTCAGAGCAGGGTTAAAATGCAGTACAGCTGAACTGCCATCAGCTTGAATTCTGAGACATGAGGGAGTAACAGAGAGAGCAAACAAACACTCACTCTCTTTGCCGACGTCAGAACTAATAGCAGGGCTGTTTTAAATGACAGAAATTTAAGTGAAACCTGATCTAAAAGCTCAGAATGAGCTTTGATCAGAGCGTGCAGGACCATCATTAGGTCTCACTGTGAAGCTAGTGGATGTGACACTGGTCTGTGTCTCCGTACACCTTTCAGGAAATGTTTCATCAACGGGTGATTAAGAACAGTTCTGTCACCGAAGCCCTTGTGACAGGAAGAAATAGCTGCATCATAAGTTTTAATTGTGCTGAATGCTAGATCTCTGTCCATCAGCTGCTACAGAAAGGACAGCATGCCACCTAGTGGACATGAGATGGCCTCCACGCCTTTCTCTGCGCACCAGCGCTGAAAAATTGTTCACTTGATGTGCACAGCATTGGGGTGGAAGCAGCTCGTGCACCCTGACCGTATGCACCACATCCTGTGGGAGGCCCATCTTTTCTAAATGGATCTGTTCAGCAGACAGACCCAAAGATGCTGACCTATTGCTGGGTAACTCCTGATTGCTCTTCCTGCCTGGAGGAGAGTGCCCCCCCCACAGCAGTTCCCACGACTGACCCGATATCAGTCGCTACAGATTCGGGAACCATGTTGCGCATATGCTTTCAGTCCGAGAAATCAGCTCGGGATGGAGGCTCCAGTCTCTGTGGCGGGGACCACCCCTCGACATGATATCCGCTCGCTTTTTCAGGACGCTGGGAATGTACACTGCTCTGATAGAGAGCAGGTTTGTGTGTGCCCAACACAACAGCTGTTTCATAATACGTAACAGTTGGGCTGAGCGCATGTCTCCCTGACGGTTTATGTAAACTGTCGTCACTTTGTTGTCTGTATGGATCAGAACATGCTGATCCCGCAGCAGGGGGCAAATGCTGAGTCACGTTTCAGACCGTGAAACATTCTAGCACATTATGTAAAGCAACATGTGGTCCAGCCACTGTGCTCCCACTGCTTGGGACAGACACATTCCTCCCAGCTTGACAGGAACACGTCTGTGAAAACTGAGACGTGTGACGTAGGCCTTCCGATGGGAACTCCCTGTGACAGAATGAGAGGGTTTCCCCAGTGATTCAGATTGGTTCTCACAGGGGGGGCACAAAGATAATCCACCTCTTCTGGCGCATAGGATCTATGCACAGGTAGGCAAACCATCTCTGAAGACGTCTCATGTGAAGTAGGCCCAGCAGAACCACATGTGGACCACTGGCATCGTCCCAGGAGTCGCATGACAGGCAGAACTGTCACTATGCTATAGGGTTTTACATGGTGGAACTGGGTTTGACACGGAGGAACTGAGCTGATAGAGCTTCGGCTCTCAGCTGTGATAAATGGGCTCTCATTGTAGTTGAGTTAGCTCCACTTCCAGATAAACAATCATCTTGGACGGACGAATGGAAGTTTTTCCCAGTTTATAGAAACCCCAGGATTAGCAGGTGGAACACTAGCGTTTTGGTCTGTGCAACAGCTTTCTAACTAGACTGAGCTAATAAGAGCAGATCATCCAGATAAAAAGAATTCTTATTCCTGCCATGTGTAACGACTGCAGAGCCATCTCCACACATTTCGAGAACGTGCGTGGGGTATTTCAGAATGATGGAAATGTGAAAATATGCGCTCTTCAGATCTATGGAGGTGAAAACCAGTCGTTCTGGTGAAGTTCTCCAACAACTGTTTGTCAGCATGTAGAATTGTCTCCCCGTGATCGAATTGCTGACCATGAACAGGTCGAGAATGGTCTCAACCCTCCAGTTTTTTCTCAGAACCAGAAAGTAGTGGGAGGAAAAAAACCTGTATTTTCCTCGCGGTTGGGAACTCTGGAAATCACGTTTTTTCGTCAGAAATTCCTGAACTTCTAATTGGAGAGATGAGCTCTGTTCTGGAGGACAGAACCGTCTCTATAATCCCTCTGAACAGTGGGGTTTGAGCTGCAAACTGCAGCGTGTAACCCCTTCTGATCAGACGGTCCGTCCATCTGTCCAGGGAACACACTCGCTGCCACTTTGAGTAACGCTCGGAGAGCAGGCACGCATTTGTGTTGTGTCATGATTCTCATGAATGTCAACCAGACTAAAAATTCTTACTGCCATCATTCGCTCCGGAGATTCTCCAGGGGGAACCCGAGGAGGGCTCCGACAGAAAAAAGGACTGTATGTGTATCTCTGTGCTGAGCCCTGGCTGCGGTCTCACATAGAGCTGAGGTGAGCCGGCACGCACTGAGAGGAGGCGTGAGCACATTCTGAGTGAGATGCCGTGTCAGTGGAGGCTGCAGCTGTCGTGGAGAAAACATGTTTACTCCCGCTGTGCTGTGAATGGGCAGAAAACAGCAGAAATTAAAAAAGGGCTCTGGCTGAAAACGAGGGATTTTGCTGGACTCGGTCTGCTGAAAAAACATAATTTTAACTGACGTGGCAGACGAGTGTTTTGTGATATTTACTGAACTGCGGTGCCATTTAAAATGCTGTTTAGAGGTTACTGGCTCATTTTGTGTGGGGAATGTGTAAAGAGAGACAGCTGTGAGCTCAGCTGATCTGACAGTCTCAGATGTAAAATCTTTACTTCCAGAGGTGTTTCTGTTTTATATTAAAAAAAACCATACATCATTAAAAAAAACACATACCTTCCCCTCAAGGATCTGTTACCTGGTGGCGGGGGCCGGCGGAAGAGCGGGACGTGAAGTCGCTGTCACAGCTGTGGAGCGCCTCTGCTGCTGTTGTTGGTCAAAGCGGTCCCTCCAGTGTCCGGAGGGGCGAGAGGAGGACTGTGATGTCACCAGATGGTGTACAGTCTCTGAGACCTCCTCGGACCTCTGCGATTTCTCAGGGATGGTCCTGAAGTTGGCCCCTAACAGCACTTCTGGGGTGATGGGACTTTCCAGCAGGTCTTTCTGCAGCCTCTCGGACAAGGATGGCGAGAGGCGGAGCCAATTGATCCTCTGGATCATGGTCATCCAGGCGGCGATGCAGTACAGGCAGACTGCAGAGGTGGCACATGTTTAAGATGACATCAGCAGCTTTACAGAGAGAGAGCTCTTTGTC